GCCCCTCCGCTGCTGCTGCTGTTGGCCGCCTGCACGCCGCCGCCCTGCGCCGCGGCCTCTCCGACGCCACCCGGCTGGGAGCCAGCCCCTGACGCGCCCTGGTGCCCCTACAAGGTTCTCCCTGAGGGCACCGAGGCGGGCGGCGGGCGTCTGTGCTTCCGTACCCCTGCGCGCGGCTTCCGCTGCCAAGCGCCAGGCTGCGTAGCGCACGCCTCGGCTGGCCACTCTCTGCGCGCCGGCGTCCTGCGCAACCACAGCGTGTTGCTGCAGTGGCGCTTGGCGCCGGCGGAGGCGCGCCGTGTGCGCGCTTTCGCGCTTAACTGCTCGTGGCGCGGCACCTACACACGCTTCCCATGCGAGCGCGTGTTGCTCGGGGCTTCCTGCCGCGACTATCTGCTGCCCGACGTGCACGACGGCGTGCGCTACCGCCTGTGCCTGCAGCTGCTGCCGCTGCGCGCCGAGCCCACCGCCGCGTCGGAGCCCGCAGAGTGCGTGGAGTTCGTCGCTGAGCCGCCCGGCATGCGGGAGATTGTGGTGGCCATGACGGCGGTGGGTGGCTCCATCTGCGTCATGCTTGTGGTCATCTGCCTGCTGGTGGCCTACATTACCGAGAACCTCATGCGCCCAGCCTTCGGGCGCCCCGGCTTGCGCAGGCATCCCTGAGGCACCCACCTGGGCTCAGCCCGCCCAACGGCGCCTAAAACCCTAGGCTCTCCTCCTGCCTTCCTCTCATTCTTACTCTCTCAAGATTCTCATGGAGGACCTGCTGGAGACCGTTAGGATGGGACCTTGGATCGTCGCACGCCTTCCCAGCTGGGCATTAGCCTTCCAGACTCTGGCTCCAGCTCGGCTCCTGTGCCAGGGCTGCAGCGCCCACCGTATCCAGGGCTTTCCTGGCTCTCCAGAGGCCTTTATATGGGCGGCTAGGACATACAGCCACTTCTAGCAAGAGGCATTGGCACCCTTGATCATCACCCTGCACTTGCATCCTGGGCCAAGTTATCAAAGACAGGCTGTTGTCATTGCTTGGTCACTGTGTGCTTTGCAAGGATGGAGAGCTGCACCTTGGCGCCTGTTTGCCCTCTACCTGTTCTCCCTGCACTACCCCAACGGGCTTAGGTTAGCTTCGTGCCTTAGTTATCTCTGGCCCACTGCAGGAGCCAACTACCTGGCCCCCTGCTGTCTAGGGAGGTCTGTGGCCCTGAGATTGACCAGCATGTCTGTGCATCTGGCCACTGTCCCCGGGGACACTGCCCTTGAGCACTGCAGGAGCATGTGATGAGGGTAAGCAGCACCCTGGGCTGTTTTCCTGTGTGTGTGTCTGAAAATCCTGGAGCTGTGATACAGCTCAGTAGGCCTGGCCCATGTCCAGCCTGCTGCATCTAGGGTTGAGGACACACCTTGGAGAGGCTGGTGGTTCTCTTGGGCTGGACCCCATCTTTTGGGTGTGTTGTTTCTGATCGAAACTTTTAAGTTGGGAGTGGGGGCACGTAGTGGGTAGATAGCATTGTGTCCTGAGGACAGAGGTTGGACACTTGTGTTGCCCAGCGGACCTTGTGCAGAGGCCTGGATCCCACACAACAACTAACCCAGGGGACCTGAATGGGCACAGAGTGACTGGCAGAATTACCCCAGTCTCTTCACTTTCAGGAGTTGATAACCCAGGGTGTGACCCCATGAAGCTGCTCATCCACTGTGGACTGAAGGCTGGCCATGCCCACCTCTAGCAGACCTAAGCCCCCTGGCCAAGGCTACACTCCATGATGACCACCTGGTGATGTTGGGCACTGGGGAGAGCTGCACTGCCTGGTCTGACTGACTGGCATTGACCCTGGGTACTTCCTGGTCACTGTGGATACACCTCCTTCCTTCACCCCAGGACCATCAGTGACCCCAGGCCCTGGTTGGGGCCCCTGCAGCACCTGAACCTGGCCTCGCTGAATCTTCTCTCCTCCTACCCCTGCCTGGCACTGCCCAGGTGCCATCGTCTAAACGTCCATCATTCTCAGACCAAAGATGCCATCTCGTGTGTTTATTTGGGAGGCAGGAGGGAAGGGTGGGCCCTTTCTCCTCAGTTCCTCCAGAGTTCTTGAGGATTACCTGGAGGGGATTACCCTGAGCCATTCTTGGCCTAAGTGGCATGGCCCATGCAGGTGCACAGCACTGCCCTTGCAGTTTCTAGCAGGAGAGTGGGCAGCTGGGCAGGGTGCCTGCTGCTTGTCCATTGACCCTCAGACCTTGGGAAATCATCTTTCCTGGGCCAGCTGTGGGCGGTGGTGGGGGAGGCAGCACCTGCTGCAGTTACGAATAGCCCAGGCTCATGGGTAACCCACTTGAGCTGTGACAAGCAGCAATTAGGTGGCTCTGGGTGGAGCCTCCCTGTGCAGAATTGGGGGCAAAGGACAGCGTGGGGCTCAGAGTTGTGCCTTGTGTGGGCTGCTGTCCCACCGCTCACCTAGGCTGTCCTTGGGGCACCTGCAGCCAGCTGTGACCCTGAGGAAGCAAAAATCTCAGGGAAGTGGAGCCAGCCCTGAGGAGTGACTCATCCTGGGGGAGAGGTGCAGTGATGTGTCTAGACAGCCAGGCAGGAGAAGGAGGGGTTTGGCCAGCCACCTCTTGCCCTGGCTCCCTCAGGCAGAAGTGGGAGCCAGGTGGGCCTCCTGAGTTCAGCCTCACACAGCATGGTTCCAGAGCTAAGGCTGTGTGGCCCTTTCTGGGTTAGCTGTGAACTTCCCAGAGGTCTCTATCAGGGCTTGGGCTCACACCAGCTAGAGTTACAGGCCTGTCCCATCAGCCAATTCTGAGGTGCTTCTCAAGAGGCCTAGAGACCAGCTTTGCATTGGCAGAAAGGGTCCCAAGGACAGTCCCTGGCTGGGGAGGAGACCTGGAGCTCGAAGGCTGAGGTGTCTGCTTTCAAGCTCACATCATTCCCACAGGCTGATCTCTTGCTTTGCAGCTGCCTTCTGGGCTGGCCCCCATGTCCTCCCAGGAGCACAGGGACACCCAGGCTCCTGCCCTACGCCAGTTGGTCCACCTGAAAGCATGGCAGGGAACTTACTTTCCAGAATGTTCTCCCCTCCAGCCCTACCACCTCCTGAAGCAGCCTCCCTCTCTCTCTGATAGATACTGGCTCTCTGGCTATGTGATGGGGTGGAGTCACTCCAAATAGTTTTTCGCTCTGCCTGGGAGGTGATGTTAAGAGAGGGCTCTGTCTGGCCCTGTCTTGCTCACTAGCAGCTGAAGATACTGAAGCATATAGTTTTCCAACATGGAGAAGCCATTGCTTTGATTCCAAGTCAGTGCAGGCTGCCTGGGCTGTCATCCTGGCTCTGCCATCCATGTGTTCAATGCCTTGATTTCTGCATCTGTGAACAGAAACAGGACGAGGACACAGCTCATAGCCCAGCCCCATGGAGCTGGGTGAACTACAGTCCATGTTTGTGACAGCCACACTGCAGCTGGGACCGCCTGGGCCTGACCATGCTACGAACTCACGGCCCCCTTTTTTTATAGTCTCACTTCATCGCCCTTGGTAGAGTGCCATGGCGTCACACCTCACAGCAACCTCCAACTCCTGGGCTTAGGTGATTTTCTTGCTTCAGCCTGAGTAGCTGGGACTATAGGCACCCGCCATAACACCCAGCTATTTTTTTGTTGCAGTTTGGCCAGAGCTGTGTTTGAACCCGCCACCCTCAGTATATGGGGCCAGCGCCCTACTCACTGAGCCACAGGTGCTGCCTGACTCACAGCCCTTCTCTTCAAGTGGAGACTTGCTGAGGTGGCGTAGTGGAAGGTGTTCTTCAAGGGAGCGGGCAGGCAGGCTATGAGAGCAAGATGAAACAAAAGGAGAGGAGTCCCAGGTGGTGCTCAGATGCCCCACTCTCCCATTCCTGCTCTCTCTTAGCCTTTCTTGAAATTTCCACTGTGAGCCCTCAGGGGCATCTTACCCCTTTTATCCCCACAATAGAAGCCCTGACTTCTGTCCACCTGCTGAACCTGACCGTAGCATGTGTCCTCACCTTAGGCAACTGGAATGGCTCACCCAGTCTGTGAACATGAGCTGAAGACCATGAGCTAATGACCCCCATGCTTGCACGGGCTTCTGTGAAGACTCCAGGAGGCAGAGACACAGGTCTCCCCTCACTCCATGGTCAGACCACACTAGAGGGCAGAGGCTGAAAAATGCAGCAGGCAGGGACAAACTGGAACCTAAGTTGTGGGGTTGACATCACTCTTAACAACTTCAGGATTAGGGGGTCAGGACTGTTACAGTGGTTTTCAGAAATAGCCTGAGGAGCTGCTGGAGAGGACATGCTTGATACCTGAGGCCTCCAACTTGAACCTTTAGAATTAAGTCCTCAGGTGGGTGAGTGACCTGCTGAAGGGACCGAGCTTGAAGGTACAGGGCAACCTCCTTCTTTAAGGACATTACTCCTGATATTCTCTGTCCAGTTTTGAATTTTCTTTTTTTTAATTTTTTTTTTTTAGACAGTCTCAAGCTGTCGCCCTGGGTAGAGTGCTATGGCATCACAGCCCACAGCAACCTCAAACACTTGGGCTCAAGCGATTCTCTTGCCTCAGCCTCCCAAGTAGCTAGGACTACAGGTGCCCACCACAACGCCTGACTATTCTTTTTGTTGCAGTTGTCATTGCTGTTTAAGCTGGCCCAGGCTGGGTTTGAACATGCCAGCCTCGGTGTATGTGGCTGGCGCCCTACCCACTGAGTATGGGTGCCACACTGTGTCTTATTTGTTTTTATTTTTTATTTTTCAATTTTTGGCCAGGGCTGGGTTTAAACCCACCACCTCCAGTATATGGGGCCTTAGTCACCGAGCCACAGTTGCCACCTTTTTTTTTTTAAATTGAGATGGAGTCTCACTTTGTCACCCTTGGTAGAGTGCCATGCTCAGGCTGGAACCTGAGCTCAAAGTTTCCTCCTGCCTCAGCCTCCCAGAGTGCTGGGATTACAGGTGTGAACCACTGTCCCCAGCCATTACCTTTTTTTTTTTTAATGCTGCAATTTTGAACTCCTGGGCTCAAAGGATCCTGTTGCTTCAGCTTCCCAAGTGTCTGTGACTACAGGCATGTGTCACCAGGTCCAGATAAGTTGTCCCTCTGCCCTAGTTTTCTTTTTTTGGAAATAGGGGCTTGCTATGTTGCTCAGGCTGGTCTTGAACTCCTGGCCTTAAGCAATTGTCCCCATTCAGGTGTCCCAGTGAAGGGAGGAAAGCACCGTGATCTTGCCTAGTGGGTTCTTTGCTTTTCACAGGAAAGAATTCAGGGGAGGCCCAACTAGTGATAGGAGGGTTTACTGAAAGAGAGAGTAGCAGTGCTCTCCTAAGCAGGAAGGGACCCTTTATGGGGCAATGGTAATGTTTTTGTATTTATTTATTTATTTATTTATGAGACAGAGCCTCAAGCTGTCACCCTGGGTAGAGTGCTGTGGCATTATAGCTCACAGCAACCTCCAACTTCTGGTCTCAAGCGAGTCTCCTGCCTCAGCCTCCCAAGTAGCTGGGACTACAGGTGCCCAGCTATTTGTTGTTGTTGTTTTTTTTTTTTTT